AACATCCAACGTGATGTCATTTTATACATCATTATAAATGTATCCATCACAGCCCCCCCCACCCCTACCAATCCTGTAAAAACACTGAGATGCTGCAGGAAGGAAGTCGATCAAACTGTTCGTTTGCCTGCAGTAGATATTTATTCAGCTTTTAATACGAGGGGAAGTTGGGGAAGCCAGCTGCTCCTGAATATCTGTCAGATGACATTCAAAGTTGGTTCCTGTTATCAGCACAGGGCTGTTACTGTATTCGGTCATTTGTTTGTGGTCTTCGAGCCTGTTGGAGTTTATTACTGTGCTGAAAACAGAAGAGGAAATGTAAAACCTCCTCTGTAATACGTGCTCTGTGTGCATGTTGTGGCTTGTTGTTATTCCTCATAATCCCTGAGCTGAGCGGAAAAAGCCTGGTATTAACTGTGAGTCGCGTACAGGGAGGGAAGAAGCTTCCTCAGTATTGGTGCTGGAAAATGGAAAATGTTTATTAATTACAGATGCAAAATTATATACTTGAAACTGAAGCCAACAGAAGTTACAAATGCAGAGAAACATGAGAGCTCCCACAATTCAACTCACACATTTCTACTATAGATTTAAATCATCATTAAATATAATAAAGAGTCTGTTGTGATGTGTTCAGAACTTGAAACACAACTAGAGATGCACCGATCAATCGGCCGACGATGGTTTATGTCGCCAACAGCAGCACAGATAATAACTGAGCCATTGCAACCTGTTCTCAAAACTTTTAATTCATTACCATGCATGAGGCACATGGTTTTAAAGCGACTGTGTTAAGCTAACTAGCTGATTGGGGTATTAATCAGAGTTGATGAGTAGCTCGCAGGTGTCGTACAGCAAAGCTAACGCTAACTGTTTCATGTGAGTGGATAGAGATGCTAAAACACTTAGCTTCTTAGTCTAGAAGGTATAACTGAATGAAAGCACAAATCTATGTGGTCTGTTAGTCTGCTACTTAGCCAGTCATTATTAATTGGGGTGGCTGTGGCTCAGAGGTAGAGCGGGTCGTCCACTAACTGGCAGATTGGTGGTTGGATCCCTGGTCCCGGTATCTTTGGCTAAGATACTGAACCCCTAGACTCACAAGTCAGTCTTTAGACGCTTTGCTTAACTAAAGACTGACGTCTTTCTCCCTGATTTTGTGTTTAGATGGGCGGATACAATTTCAGAGTTTAAAAAACTCCCTACGTTGCAGAACCAATAGTAAATCCGCAGGGCGGTCCTTCGGTGGCTCGCTGAACTCTTGTGCTCATAAACATAGTCTGACTGCGTTAAAACTTTTAAACAAAGTCACTGTAAGTCCTTCATTTCCACAATCTTGTGGACTGAGCACACGATTGATAAAACAGAGTTAAATCTCTCAGCATCCATTTTCAAGCTCTCTGTGTGTTTGTTTCCTTGCGGACGAGAAAAGGGGGAGCGCACATTTCCAGGAGGGAGTGTCCTATTCAAAAATACAAGAGGCGTTGCTTTGTTGCCAGCCGTTTTCTCCGGTGTGTTAAACACACTTTAGAGAGGAGTGTCCCCAGACTATCAGAAGCCAGTGATCTCTGATTGTCTGGTGGTGAGACTACTGAACCCCAAATTGCTCCCGGTGGTTGTTCCATCGGTGTGTGAGTGTGAGTGAATGGTTACTGAGTAGCAGGTGGCACCTTGTATGGTCGCCTCAGCCATCAGTGTGTGAATGTGAATGGGTGAATGTTGTGTAGTGTTAAAAACGCTAGAGTGGTTGGAAAACTAGTAAAGCAATATACAAGTTTACCATTCACCTGTTAGTCAAGAAAACTAGCAGACTCCGTGGGGAGTTGGTAACAATAAGCTCACATAGAAAAGCTAATGCTAACCATTTCATGTAAGTGAATAGAAAATGCTAAAACAATTAGCGCCAGGGAGGTACATAGAGAGCTAAGTAGTCTAACCTGGTCGGCTAGTAAGTGTAGTTAGCTTTTTTTTTACCAAGTAGGGTCCATGTGATAGATTTGGCAGTTTATTCTGTGACAGCAAAACATTCTAGTGCTGTGGTCACTAACAGGCCGACCACAGTCTGAGTCCAGACCAAGACGCCATCCTATACGGACCCAGACCTATAACCAGTAAATTATTAAGGGATTTTAAATTTTGACGGGACGCTTCTATTTTAACCGGCACAGCTTTTCTAGTCTTCATGGCACTGGTTTAGCTGATCAGGAAACACACAGACCAATTGAATGTAAGTTAAGCCATCCCGTGTGATGCCACCCAGCCAATCAAATATCTGCATTCCAGGCGAGTAACATTGCGACTCTGTATACAGTTAAATAGGAGAGGTGGGAGGAGAGTGACAAGCGGAAAGACGATAGAAAAATAGAAAGATAGAAAAAGAAAGAGCAATACAGGGAGAGAAGACGGAGAGGAAGAGGCGAGTGAGCGAGGGACAGAGAGAGAAGTCGGAGGGGAAGAGACGAGTGAGCGAGGGACAGAGAGAGAAGTCGGAAAGAAAGAGAAAATGTTCAATTGTTATTTATTTATTGTAAAATTGGTTGAGACTGTTAAGTCAAGTTGTGAAACAGTTCACAAAGAAAAAGGAAAATTCAAGCTGTTGATACACTTTATTTTACTTATTCTAAAATTAGGCACTTTATTTTAAGATGCACAATTTTTCAAAAATTATTTCATTTATTTTCTCCATTTTTTTAAATGCATATCTGTATAGTTTAATGTTAAGAGACAGTTGATGTTGTCGAAACGTTCTTGATTCGTACGTTCTTTATTTGATTTGATTTGATTTGACAGTCAGATGTTAATTACATGCAGACGTTGATGCAACTACTAGGCTACTTCAGTGTATATCACACTAAATCACAAGTTAGACATTATGATATTCCGGACCTTTGCGTTTTCTCGAACTGGACCTCTTTGAATGTTAGTTGACCTAAACACACCCCCACAATCTGAGAACTGGTTTGAGCAGCCAGATGAGCTGCGTTAGAACAACACATCCTCACTGCGACCTCGTCACATGTCCACGTTTGGTCATGGACTTTCCACGTCCACATATGTCGTCCAAGGTACCCTGGGTGTGTTGGTTGTTGACGTTCTGGGACGCCGTGTCAACTTCAGCCTGTTACATGCATTGTCTGTTTTCAAACTACACTTCTGTTTTCACAGGAAATGTACAGTTTGAATACAGTCTCTTTCAAAATAAAAGCACTACATCAGTACAACACAGCAAATTGACGTTATTTTTCCCTTAACTACAAACACACGTGGTTGGATTTAGGAAAAAAGAACAGGGTTTGCCTTTATAATCTTACGGGAAGTGAACACCGTCCTCCCAAGTGTAAGTCGGTGGTTGCTGGACCAGTCCACCACCCCGTTAAACGATAACGGCAACCGGCCACATATCATGCTGACGTGAATGGACGGCTTTTTTCATCGGTGTCTGACTGACACCAGAACAGAAGTCACTGACCATGCGCCGGATTTCACTGACTTTGGAGTGAGACTGGATAGGTTTAAATTAGGTTTTCTAATAGTTATGAACATTTATTTTCACTTTGGAAAATGTGCTTCTTACAATAACGACTATAATCCGAGTGAAATGTGTCAATATCTGTAGTGATGAAGGAAAATCCTCATTTCGGATCTGACCAAAAATGATCTGAAGCTCAGTCTTGTGGCTGCTCTGTAAATAGTTTTCTGATAAACTCTAAGTATAGCAATCCATATCAATTTCAGTCTTAAAATAACTTCCTGATGACCATTTACACATTTTGGACATGTCCCAGGCCAGCTGACTTTTGGTCCAGAGTATTTGAAACCCTGGGACAGGCCCACAACACGATTCTGGTACCTTATCCCCCTGACAGCTTCATTCGGCCTCCCTCCAACTCAGAACATGCCAGCTACAGTACTACATGTCTTTGGTTTCACTACTCTGCAAGCCAGACGCTCCATTCTTCTTTAATGGAAACATACTTCTCTCCCAATGCACGACCGATGGATACAGGACAACAATGCATTCAACAAAGTTAAGATTCTCACTGAAGGCTTCTTTAAATTCTTTTCACAAGACCGGGATACCTCTACTAGCCTGTGGTGGGTTCTTCCTTGTTCTTCTGCTTTTTTTTCTGTCACAGACATTTTATTAGGCTCTGTATTGCTGTATTAACTTTATCATGTTTGCAGAAAAGTTAATAAAAAAATTTGGGGAAAAAACCCTCTGGTTCGGCAAGACACTCATCTTTGATATCATATTTGCATTTTTAAAGAAAAGCTCCAAATATTTAAAGAAAAGTTCCTGATCTGGTTGTGAATGTTGTCAATTATACTGTAGTTCTTAGACGGAGAGAAAAGAGAAATCTGACAAAATCAGAATCAGCAGGTTGGACATATAGCTCAGCCAAATCTGCAATGGTGAACAAAATTTCCAATCAGTGCATCTTTTAACGCAGCATTAGGATTCGGTTTTGTCTTGAGACTTGTTGACTTGGGACGTGACTTCAGACTTATTTTCTTGACTTGGGTTTTGCCATGGGACTTGTTGGTACTGAGGTTTCTACCATTTTTTTCCCCATTAAAGGGTTTTTTTGGGGAGTTTTTCCTTATCCGCTGTGAGGGTCCAAAGGACAGAGGGATGTCGTATGCTGTAAAGCCCTGCGAGGCAAATTGCGATTTGTGATATTGGGCTTTATAAATAAAATTGATTGATTGATCGACTTGGGTCTCACTTTTTAAATATAATACAAATGGATACAGTGCACCGTGTATCAGTTTCTAGGTGCAGAACTTTATGTAAATGTGCAGACTCATCAGAAGCATCAGAGTTTGTTAGTTAAAGTACTTCAGGGTCGTTTCAGTTCAGTTGAGTTTGTCAGTTTTGTCTCTGTTGGTGTTTTTCCTGCTCAGAAATGTGGATGACTTGTTGATCAGATGCCCCGCCTCCTGTTTTTTTTTTTTTTCTTGTCTGCTGCTGCGTGTGCAGACTTCCAGGCTGCTGTTGGCTCTGACAAGCGCTCAGTGAAGCAACACACTTGGCTATAAATACACGAGTCGTAGCCGAGGCTCTGCCTGCAGCATAGCGTCTGTATTTACATACTGAACCTGGACAACTCGCAGAGCCACTCACAGCTGTTGACAGTCAGTTTGTGTCTGAGCGGCTGGATTTATCTTCTACCCAGCTTTTAAAACTGTGGCGAGTTCACTGCCAGAGCATTTTCTGTTGTTTTGGACTTTGAGAGTTTTTTGGAATTTGAGTTAATTTGACCCAGGTGGTTGTGTTTTGGACCGAGCAGCTATGGGAGACTTTTGGGGAGATATTGCCAGTCAGAGGGTGGCCAGGGCGATGTCAGTGGTATGTATCTGCTGTCAAAAAACACTCTTTCTCTCTCAGGTTGTCAGTAAAGTTTGTGGCGGGAGCCTCACATGGCTTCACTTTACTCACAGATATAATTAGAGACAAGTCACTGATTGTTTAGTGCCAATAACTGCACACAGAGCATGACTGATGTGTCGTACTTCATTCAGGCTCATGAAACGTTTGAGGAAATGAGGCCGTTAAACAGGAAAAGAGAGATCAGAGCTGATCCGTCATGTGCAGAGACAAAGTACACAGGACAGACGCTCATGTACAAACATCCAACCTCTGAGTACACAGTAAAAGCTGAACAATGCAAAATGTTCCGTTACAGCACAGAATCACAAATCTGCCAGTTAGTTTTAGATTTATCGATGGATTAATTATTTGGTCTGTCCAAAAAAAGCTCAAGATGACAGTCCAAACTGTCACTGAGATTTATCCTCAGTTGACTATTTGCTTTATGAACCAACCATTTCAGCTCTACACAAATTTGTTAGAGCTGTACAGTCTGCACAACCTGCGATCATTGTAAGACCCTCAATTCAGAGACGGCAACACTACAACTAACAGGCAGTAGATGTCATATCTACAGAGTAGCCAGAAAATACTACAGGGACATCAAACTGGGGAGAAACAGCCATAATATTAAGTTTAAAAAAGGCACTAAGTAAACTTAATGTGTAAAGAGTTTTCAAACAGGGTGTAACAGACTTTTCAAGTGTTAAAATCATCTTAAATATTTTCTTAAATTTCTTAAAGGCCCTGAAACTAGGGATGCACGATATTGGATTTTTGCAGATTTCCAATTTGTAGATATATAACAAGTCATTTGGCTGATAACCAATACCTATATTAATATATCCACTTTTTTTCCCACGTGGAATTAACATCATATTATACATACATACCCACCAGCAGATGGAGACATGAAATACTGTTCAGTGTCTGTAATATTCATTTATTGTGCGAAAAAAGAAGAAGCATGTTGGCCGATCCTGATAGTTCATTTTAAAGATATGCTGATATTATCGCGCATCCCTTCAGTAATCGCTGAATGAGCAGCGGTGGCTAGCTAACTAGTGTAGAATGAATACCTTATTAGCTTTGTTCTTATTGTGATACAGCGTAGTGCTAATACTAGGACTGTCCCAAATACCATTGTTGGGGTTTTGTGATAATTACCATGTATAAATATTCATTTTAAAGCCAATATCGGCCGATACCGTTGATGTACCCATATTATCGTGCATCCCTACCTGAAACACCCAGTCGACAGTCGACCATCGGTCATTGTCGAGCTGTCGCTGAGTGTCTGTCGCTGTTGTCTTTGCGGTGCGTCCCGCACTGTGGGCACTTGTTGGCCTCCGTGGCCTTTTTTTTTTTTGGGTGATTCAGCATGTTGACGGCGAAGACAAACTGAAGTGAGGAAAGTAAACAAACAGTCAAGAGGGAGTGAGACCAAAACAAACTTGTAACATAAGATCAGATTATTTTTCTTAAGCCATTGACCTTTTGAGCAGAAACTATGGATGCACGATCATCTCGGCATGGATTGTGTTATTATTCACTGACCCACAGTAAATACGCTCTGTTCTTTATCGTTCTAATGTGCTAACAGGCTAACTAGCATCAAGACGGTCTTCTGGTTTCCCTTTTTGAATGAAGAGTTCAGACGATGCCGTCTACTGGTTTGGAGAGTTATTTCCTTTCACACAGGCCTAGAACGTACGTGCTGGTTGGCTGTCGGCTGTAGTCTTTGCGATGTGTTCAAGCACAACTTTTTGAACAAGACATTGGCAGCGTGAGGACATGAGGCGACGCAGCAGTCAGTTTTCATTGATGCTTGTTCTTTGAAATCGGTTTGACTTGTCTGGGCCTTTATTATAATAATAATAATAATAATAATAATAATAATAATAATAATAAACAGGGTTTTTTTATTAGACGTTAGAGATGATCCGATATACACAAACAGAGCAAATCATCATACACATATGGAATCAATGAAATTTCCTTGCACAGCCACAGGTAGTCAGATTTCCAATCTGGAAATCTATCAGTTAAAAAAAAGAAGAAAACAATGTTTTTCTTCCTTTACCTCTGGAGGCACAGCCCAGGGACTAACGGAAGTGCAGGGGCCTCGGCGATCGCTCACGCCCTTCACTTCCAGTGGTGCCCCCAGAGAGTCGCCGTGTTGTTTACAAATACTTCGGGTAGAAAACCAGCAGAGTTTAGCTATATATCACATTTTTCACATCACTATATCACCGTGTAGACTAATCTTATGTTTGTTAAGTCTATAAACACAATGATTGAACAAACATTAATATTTCTGTGTGCACGCAATTAACATGGTTATCGTAGATTAGCTGGGCTAACCGTTAGCTGTTAACGTTAAAACGTTAAAACATCAGTGGCTGCAGCTGACAGGGACAGTTAGCAAAGCTAACAGCAGGACGTCATCTGTTAAAAGCCTCCCGTTGTCGGATACAACATGAAACTACTCCAGTTAGCTCAATCATGTTGTAACTAAGACATCCGCTGGGAAAAAAAAAAAATTTGCGATGAGACGGCGTTTTGGGTGGAGCGGTCGCTATGGACGTGGAGCCCCCTCCATTGTGATTGGCTAAAGCACAGCATCGTTCAAACTCAAAGGCCCCCCCCCCCGGAAAGATTCTTTTAGGGTCGGAAATCACTGTCCATCATTTATTTTAAACTTCTTAAAGATGGAATCTAAAAGTAAACTGAGCTCAGAAATACTCTGACTGCCATCGTCACAAGGATCCAGAGAGCTTTGACTCGAAGGTCAGACGAGGACACATTGTGTACAGAATCTCCCTTCACACTTAAGACGTTTCCAAATCTGAAAAGTGATCATCAGATTCCTCCGGCCCAGACTTTATTTTTAGAGTCCTTTAAAAGACGTGATGTGGTTTGGACATCCAGTTTAGTCTTTCCCCTTTCCAGTCAATGTCGTCTTTGTCTTATCGTCTTCATTCAGTGAAATAACGTGCACACACAGAGATCTGCCTCAGACTGCTGCTCTTACAGAAAACTCCTTAAATTACTGACAGATTGATTTGTGGTCACATTTTACTTGAGGTTTGTTCACATTCTGTCACCTGGTATGAACAGGACAGCTAACGAAGACTGGTGAAACTGCAGAGATACATAGACGTGGCCCTGGTACAGTTAGTGTTTGCATGTATGTGCATATTGCTCTGTTTTTTTTCTTAAATAGTGAACAGACGCAGAATCACACCTAACAACCACATGTGTATTTGTTATATCATCAGCAGCTGTTTTACTGGAGGTCAGGTGGAGTTTCAGTTTCTGTTGTCTTGGTTTTCTGCAAACAGAGTGAACTGCAGGGCAGAGATACAGCAGGAGGTGAGTTAGGAGGATTTTACTCAGCGACCGGAGCTCAGGTCCAAATACACGTGATCACAAAGTCCGGTTTGTCTGATTAGTGTAAACGCTGTGAATTGTCCCTGCGCACGTAAATCGATTTGAAAAGGTGGTCTCAAGTACAGTTCATGTGCACTCAGGCACAGTTTGCATGAGGTGTGAAAAAACGAACTGTACCAAAACACAGAAGTGGAAAGTCGTTAAATGTGAGTAGCAGTCAGAGAGTAGTGTTGCAATGGCAACGCCTCCAGTCTCCTCTGAAATCTGTGTGAAGCTCCTACTGATCCAACACATGCTCACATCCAACTTGTCAAATACCAACACTTGTGCAGTGGCCCTAAACATCAGACTGTGACACCCTAGGAACTCCTCTGATGTTGGTTTTGAACGTTCAGGGACAGTGTGTCAAGTTTTGCTCGTAACACGTGTCGTGTGTTTTCAAAATACACTTGGAACATTGGTAACAAACTTTGGGCCGAATTCACAAAGAATGAACTGCGGCCGCTGATAGCACCTTGAATTGCACTTCATTTGCACCCGCAGTTTGTTCCGTCTTAACGTCCTATTCACAAAGGATATTGCGCTAATGATATACCAGCGCAAACACGCCCACAAAGTTTGGCAGCTGAGTGCAGTTTGCCCCTGATTTGCCCCTGATTGCAATAAACCACATGGCAAAGTATAAATGCTGGCATTGCGACAAGAACACCGTGGCAGAACAATGGCAGCTAGGAAGAGAAAGATGAAATTTTCAGAACGCGAGCTTGAGGTCCTGACCGAGGAGGTGCGAACCCATTCTTCAAAACTCCAGGCAAGAAATACAACGGCTGGAGAAAGAAACTGTATTTGGGATTTGATATCCCAGTCTGTGAGTTCCATAGGAGTTTTCAAACGCACGCCATCGGAATGTAAAAGAAGATAATGCCTCACAAGCTGCACAAGCGTGTGGCTATTAGCGCTGGTATTAGTTAGGCTAATTAGACTTTGTTTGGCAAAGTACTGAATACTGTATACCCTCATGTAGTGATGTCTGCTGGTGAGTCAGTCTAACAGTGTCAGATGGGTTGAGGCTGTGGATATGACCCAGTTTGACCAATTTATCACTATTCCCTCTCACTTGTAGCTGTTTTTTCGTTATCTTTTGAATTTAATATGAATTATGGAACCGTTTTTGTTCACGTTTGTTTCCCCCATTTCGTAAAATAAATTATTGAAAGTTGCTTTTGAAGTGCGTTTTGAGAACGACCGCAGACTGTCACCTGTTCAACGCATCAGTATCTTCGGATGCCATTAAAGTAATAATGATTATAATAATAATGTCAAAATAATATTTACAGACTGATTTAACAGACGATCACGATCACTGGAAAGTCTGGCCGAGAGGCTTCCACAGAGGAGCGCCCAGTTTACACCAGCTTTCTAAAGATGTTATTTACTTCACTCAAACTGAGTGTGGCTATTAGCGCTGGTGTTAGTGAATTAGAAGTTGTTTATCAATGAGGCTCATTTGCATAGAAAGGGGCAATTTTTCCGCCAAATATATGCATAATACCTCATTTAAATATGTGCAAATAACACCGGAGCAC